TAATTCTATATATCAAACCTATACAAATAATCTTATTATCCAGCAATAATCTTGTTTACCATATTGATTTTTTTGTGGTTTTAATTTATTTTATTTTGTTCACAGGAATCAATAATTACCCTAATAATACACTTCTAATTTAATTGTCTCATCAGTTATTATCGTTCGGTTATTTAACCAATTTTTAATAGATTTTTTCTGACCTTAATTAAGGTTACAACCTTTATCCATTTATTTTAATTTTGGTTTATTTCAAGGAAGCTCAATTTTTTTCATTCGAAGGCGGTGAACTCTTTCATAAAATTAAGTATTTTAGTTAAAAGTATAGTATGACTTATCTTATAACTTATTAAGACTGTTTGTAATTAGAGGTTGAATATATATAACAATAATGTGGACGGAAATGTAGCTTATTACATTATTTTAAAATTAAAAATTTTACCTAGTCTATACCTAATTTTATTATCCTTTTATTATGTTAACGTGACTCGGTACATTATTAAGGCCGTAAAAAGTCAATTGTTTTGTAATAATCTGTGTTTTTGAATAATGTATTCAATTTATTTTATGAATGAATTCACAAAAAACATTGATATTATTTATACATTTTATTATTTTAACAAAGAATCTAAAATGAGAATTTTTATTCAAAATACCCAATTTATCAAGTTCTTTACTTCAAATGTTTTCTTTAACTTATATAAATTACGATAGAAGCTAAAGGTCATTAGGTAGGTACCTACTAAAACTATTTTAATAAACAAATTAATTAACGAGCAACGCTATAACATTTGATTTTGTTTTAGTAATGTATTATGTCATCAATCAAAATATGTATTTTTTTTTTTAATGTTATTTTAACGTCATTGAATAATTATTTTGATTTTGAATAAACAGTTTAAGTTAGGTAAAATTGTCAATAGAAGAAAGTATGTGTCAATAATTAATAATGTAAAACCACTAAAATTAGTTTATACATTTACATGTTACACTAGGTAATAATAGAGGAATAATTTAAATACTATGCTCAATTATTGTCTTTTAGTTATTTAAAGTGCCCAAGGGTCTAATGTTTATATTATCATGATGAAACCAAGAGTAAAGTTTTTCATGTTAAAACATTTTTATATTTTTGACTTTTAATCGAATACCTAACAATTCTGTCATTGATCAATGTTCAAGGTCATGATTAAAAAAAATATAGGTTATGGTGGAGCGCGTCGCCATGATTGACAGAAGACATCTGTTGGCTTTGATATAATATGATAACGTGGGTATTTTCAGCTGAATAGTAAATATTATCTACTGTTTATAGGGTGTTTTTCCCCATTTACATAATATATGTATCCATAAAGGACATGTAGTGGTTTTAACCTACTTTATATACATTGTACAACTTAATGTTTTTCTACCAAATCATCTGTATGTTTATGTGGATATTATAGTCTGTTATATCTGTGTCATATCAATTTAAATATTAAATTGTTTACGGAAAAAGAATTATTGTAATTTAAAGGAGAAGGCTGTGATACTTATTTTGCGAGAAAAAAAATACTTTTTTGTTACTTAAATGAAATATGCTTCCGGTAATAAAGGTTTCAAAATGATTGGCTATAAGTATGATTAATGCACTTTTGTTGTAACTAAATAATACACATTCCATAAGAAAAAACTACCTATTCAATTTAAAAGTTCAGTTTATATTTTTTTCCTTTTCATACTAATAAAATATTGAACGTTTTTCGAATATAGTATTGCAATTATTTGAAATGTCGTAATATAAAGTAATTAACAATAAGTAATTTTAACAGAACTATAATTTTAATTTTATCTTCTTATCAATTGTTAAACTTGGTTCCTTTCCTGACTTATTGCATTACAACTATATATTTGGCCTATAGCATGTTAAGTATATATGGGCAATTATACTATTATAATTGCATGTAAAAAGTTGAATATTTAGTATGGTCTGGTTTATCTGGTAATTTTAAGATATGAATTACCAAAGTAATTTATGTGACTATATTTTAATATAATTCCCTATATCTGTAATTTGTAAATAATTTATATTTATATTTTTATTATAATACCCCTCTAGAATAAAATAAAATGAAAAAATGTGGACCTTATACATAATAAATTATGAACTATATATTATTTTTGAACAATAAAAAAATATTATGCAAAATACATAGTTGAAATATTTATGCTTGTAGTTTATTTCATTGAATTATGATCTTTTCATCAGTACAGTTCACAATTTATTTTTAAATAATTATTGAATCCTCCTATCATTGTCTATTTTATTGAAACGAAATGCATCACGGGGACAATAAATAACGAGGTAGCGATAAGCACTACTCACGAGTGATATGATGTATAGTTTGAAAAACACAAATCAACAAATTAAATCAAATACGTGTGAAAAAAAGTAATTTAATTATGGTATTCAGTTATTTTAAAAAACTTTTTTTTTTGGCAAATGCTAGATCTATTACCTACAATTTCACTTGAAATATAAGTAGGAAGTAGGTATATTATAAGTTCTATAAATTATAATACAATATGATGAAACATTATTTATTGAAAAATGTCAATGGTAATATTATATTAATTTTATACAGTGTCTAAATATTAAGAACATTAAGGGGATTCGATTCAGCGTATTTATTTCATGATTTAGACCTAAAAGCCTGACAAAAATACGCCTACTTAGAATTATCAGATTTCAATTCTGTAAAAAGATTCGAGTTCATTGACAATTTTCCTAGGTTATTGTGGGAATCAATTTTCGATATTTTTTTAGAATTCACGTTAAATCATATTTCGATTTCTCAATTTTTTGAAAATTGTTTGTGTCTTTCTTTAAAAAGTTAAACAGTTATTCAAAAATCGACTCCCACAATAACCTAGAAAAAAGAACGATGAATTCAAATATGTTTACAGAACTAAAATCCGATCATTCTAAGTTATCGTATTTTTGTCAGGCTTTTAGGTCTCAATTGATTGAAATTAGTTTCTCGTTGGAACAAATATTTTATTATGTGACATGTGCATGCGGGTGTGAACCACTGATTCCGAACGTATCTACGCACACTAATAATCATTTTCTTCGCACACAAACACACTGCGAAACGAATATAATACATCGAATTGCCTATACACGACCCCTTATTAAATCACCGGATCGAATCCCCTTAATGATAAATCGCTTTCTTCAATCGTTGAATACTATAATTTTAAATTATTCGTATTAAAGATCAGATTAAAATTTATTTTTAGTAGAATATAAAATATACTATAATTTTTATTTGTTGTTGTTTTTTAAAAATTTGTTATTTACGTTTGTCTCATGCTTTTCAGATTTTGGTTAAAAATTCCTACACAAATATTTTAGCAGTAGAAAAATAAATACATCATAGTGTAATAACTACGTGATATATTTTATCATACAGATTGGTCGAACGAATATTTAGGATAGGTATATTATACAGGTAAAAATTATCTTAATACGTTGATATTTCAAGTATCTATACACTGTAATGAACGAATAACCATTTTTATACATCGTTTTTTTTTTTTTTTTTTTTTAATTAATTAATTTTATTAATCTTATTAATTTTGGCCACTATCATTTTGTGGGGGATAACGGTTGGTTTTGAGGAATATGTTTGTATAACGCTAAACACTACGGTGGTCACCCATCCGGGAGCTAGCGACGGCGGACGATGCTTGACCGCTTCACACATTAGCGACAGTGGTTAACCACCACTTTTTTCTACAGATTGTGATAATATGATATTGTAAACATAATATTTATTTAATTTAAACAGTGGAATAATAAATATTTTACAAACTATAAAATTACGAATGTGTTATATGAATTTTGTTAACACAAATTACAAAATTATAAATCAGACAATAGGTAAGATGTCCACGCTTTCTAAAATTTCTTTAACTATTAATAGTTTGATAATTTGACACAGTAATAATAATATTAGTAATAAGATATATTTTATATGACATTTTAGTGGATATATCAATATATAAATAATAATTGTAATTACCTATTCATTGACGACTACTGTAGTACAGACGTACAGTATTACATTTTCAAAAGTCTTACTCTATTATCACTTTTGAATATAAGATTAGATTAGATTATTGTTTATTCAGTAGCACTGTCAAAAACTTTTGGTACTTTTCTCACATTAAGTATATTTTTATATTGAAAATAATATAAAATTGGATTTTTTCAGTTTTATCAAAATGTTCATTTAATACACAACACATAATAATTATTCAATATTTTTGGTTACAAAAAAAACTTATGTTATTTTAATGTATTGTGTATTGTTTAATTTTTTTTTTTTATTGATCTTAAGCTTCGGCAACTATGGCCATTAGCTGTAGTGGTTTTTATTTGTGTGTTGTTATGTTGGTAGGGGGAGGAACACGTGTGCGTTGGGTTTGGCAGAATTTTGAATGGGGCACCCGTAGGTTTCTGCCATGCCCCGGAGTGGGGGATGGCGGCACTTGTTCTCCGGACACCGTGACTTGCCCGGAGAAAAATACCGCCCAGTGGTCGAGAGGATCGAACCCGCGACCGCCAGCGCCGCAGACGACGTGTCCGACCGCTCGGCCACCTCGTCCCCCTATTGTTTAATTATAATATAATTTTTAATATATTACATAACTACAAGTATTTCATTTTTATACGGAAGAATATTTTTATTTCACTATCTAACATTGATGTTGGGTACAGAGCTTATAAATATAAATTAAAACTTCATGCATAATAATTGATAATTTTTATCCAACTTTAAGTATTTAAAAAATACGGTATTCTAAATTTGGCTTGTTTTTTCTTCTTTCTTTTAAGTTTAAATTATTATGTATTTCTCAAAATAATTTTGGACATACAATTTATACGTTGTATATCGGTCATTACATTATTATTCTTAAAAAAAAACCTAACTTACTAATTTAGTTCTCATTTATCACATACCTGCCACTATCCATATGACAATTGAATTTCCGACGATGGCAACGATTAACATGCCAATAAAAACAGTGGACCAGATTAACTTGTGCCACGTGGAAATATTATGTGACGGCTCCGGTAGAGGATAAACACAATCATGCAATCGATCCTTGGCGATTGTGCGTTTGGACATCGTCAAATCAGCTGCTTTTAACACATTTCCCAATATTGCCAAAAGTGCAGTGGAATTGTAATGTTCCAGTTCTTTTGACGATCTATCAAATTCTGAAGATAGCACCATTGCTGTACAATTGCGTAGAATATTATCATCTATATTGCCTTCCATTGTGAAATGCTTCTGAAACAAATGTACCCATACTTCATAGTTTATAATAATATATAATATATTATTGGTACATCCTTATTATTTTTATATTTTTTGTAACTTAATAACAGTTTATTATAAGTATAAGTACGTCTTAATTTATAAATTATTCAAGAACACTGCAATTTAAGATTGTACTTAATTTACTGTAATTTCGTTAATAACTAGGATGCAAATTACAATTAGTATATATTAATTTGTTTCTCGGAATATAAATTAAAAATAATCGTGTATAATATTCATACCAATATATAGGTAGTGTTTTCATCAGTTTTTAATTTAATTTAATATTATTATCTACGTAATCAAACCTTTCCATAGAAGTGAATAAATAACTCATAAATCGTAGTTATATTTTATTTATGTGTATTTTCGTTAATATGCGTAGTTATATATTATTACCATTTCTATATAGTGAGCGAATTAAAATTTTTTTTTTCAATTAATATATCATAAAATAATGGTTACACTGTATTCCAATAAAGTAAAAAATACTAGGTGCCTAACTAATATCTGTTATCAAAGAATAATTGAAGATCGAAGTTAACGTTTAAACTTTGCTAGAGATGTTCGGAGAGCTCTTGAGGTCACGTATTCGGGAACTGACCAAATACACCACAAGCTACAATTTTTGTATGAAATATGAATATCTTCTCCGTTGCTTTAGAAATAATCGACCGTACTATAGATATGCCTTAATGTGATAAGAATAAATTCAGAACGAAAATATACAATATGTATAAAATTATAAATTAAATACAGAAGTGATTCTGAGTACAGTATTGTAACTTGTAAGGCCGTTCATTGCACTGAAGACCGTACAAGGGTTCAAATTATATTAGCAAAGACCCAGTTGAACCATTTTTTAAGGATAATATTGAAGGTGGGGTCTTCATTAGCAATACGCATAAGACGGTTAATAGGGAAGTTAGCTAAATAATTAGAAGAAGAAAATGGAATTAAGAATGAAGGAGTATATGTAGTGAGACGTGGTGGAACTTTAAAACTTACTTGAGAGAGTAGGGTAGGGCAGTCAATTACGTTAGATAATTGCTTTTTTATAAATGAAATATTAGCACTACGTCTACGATAAGTAAGAATAGATACATTTAAGGCAATACGGACAATCGTATGGAGGACAGGATACTTTTATTAAAAAAGCAGCAAATGGTAGAGATTTTGATTCAACTACTCGCAAGTTACATAGGTAGGTTGCGTTCACACTAGGAAAAGGATGACATCGTGTTACAGAAAAAAAGATGACAGGCGACGAAATTTGCGATTTCGAGGACTAAATACTATTCTCTCTTCGATGTCATGTCTCTTTTTTGTCTTCCACAGCGAGATAAGATATAAATCAACACATTGATCATCAGGTAATCAGTGCTAATTTATATTATATGATGTGACACAATAGTCACACTTTCTAGTCAGTGTGTTTGTTTCTTTTTTCCAATACTGGGCAACTCCTCATTTTAGGGATATTGCCATATTGGTTCCATTAGTCGGTTAATGATTTATTGTATTATCATATTATCTACTTATTAATACCCATCACTTTATTACACTATTTAACTATTATACTAAATGTAGTCTCATTATTATTTTGCATTAATCAATATCACAATGTACCTACCACAACGACGTCTTTAAATAATTTGTGACCTGATTTTTTTATAGGTACTTATTGTGATAGTATATAGATTAATTAATATATTTATTGATGCATCGTTCATTGAATTACACAGCCCTTAAGAGAGATATCCGTGGAAATTGTTTCCCTTAGCTCTTCACATCATATTGAATAATATATGTGAATACGCTCTACTCTGTGAAAAGTATTCATCATATAAATGGTCGACGAATAGCGAATAATAAAAACAAAAAGTGTAACCTCATTAAAATTTTGACAGCACGTTGTCAATTTAGGCATCAAATTTATTTATGTGTTTTGTACAACACCATAAATTGACGTACATCGCAAACATTTATCTCGTACATTATAATATACAGGGTGTCCCGTGAGGATTTACTCATTGCGATATCTCCTGAAATAATGGAGATATCGTAATTATGTTTTTTTATTAAGACTCGCAGAGGTAAGCACTACAAATATTTTATTTTTTAATTAAATTAAATTTTTTAGTAAAAAAGTTAAAAAAATTATTTTTTTATTTTTTTATTTTTGAAAAAATTGAAAATAGCCATTCTATAGAGTATATTTTTGTGAACATTTTGAGCTTTTAACATTTTATTTTCATTAATCTCATGATTTTTAATAATTTTTTTAGTTTATTAGTAAAACGTCAATAAACTGGTTTTTGTCCGGGCGGCGAGTCCCCCTCTACGGATAATGAGTAAATCCTCACGGGACACCCTGTATATAGGTATAAGACTATAAGAGAGTATTTTTTTTACTTAAATCATGATATACTATAATAACGTAGGCATACGCATATTATATAAAACGCGTTCATCTTAATTTTATATGAGTACTAATGTACTATAGATAATGGTAGAAAATATATTTTAAAACAAATGTGTAATATACTAGATGGTCAGGAAGTAAAAATGTAAATTTTGATAGAAACATCAATTAATTTCATACACCGTTAGGGCATGATTTGTAAACTGTAATATGCGTACGCAGATATAATAATTAATGATTTATAATAATTTAACTTTATTTTCGCAAAACAACTATCATCATTATATTATTCACTGTACCTACTGTTTAAAATTAACAGATACACAGGTTCTGCATAAATCGTAAATTGTTATCTAAATAAAGTGCTGGAAATATTAGTCTTATGAAACGATTACTAGTTTACTACTCATATTATTAAGAGTTATCACACGACCGTGATTCCCCATTGACACAATTTTCGCAAAATGTAAGCTTATATACTTGAGACAGTGTTTTACAGGCACACGGTTATATTATCGTCGACCTTATAATGTTAACGACGATAAATAACCAGTCCAAATGGTAATTATAATACCGCTGTTAAGCTGTTTGCAGTAAATATATAATATTATTATTATATCGAGCAACCGGAACGAATATGCCAACTACCGTGGTAGTTGTTATTATATATTTAACCCAAATGGCGCTTTGTCGTACATCGACTTTACTGTTGAGCGAACAGGCATCCGACGCGTTTACTTCATACTCATAATATTTATTGTACGACCGGTAATCGGAAAGTTTCCTAATAAAATTAATCTGTTTAATATGTTCAACACTTGAGGAATGGATAACTATTATAGCGTTGTAGGGGAATTCCACTTTGTTTGTAGAACCAATAATGGAACATTTTTGGTTCTTCGGCTTTTAATTGTTTTTTTAATTATAAATTCTTCTTATTATATCATAAACCATAAACATAACGTAGTACAATTAATGACAACATGAACTATAATACATTTATTTTATGTATTATTGTTGAGATCAAACGAGTAGGTACTATCTTATTATACATTTTTCATAATCATCTTATGAACAAATATTTTATAACATTATTTCGGGAAAGAGATAGGACTATTCTACACTTGAGTTGTATTTGGTCATTGATTATCAACGATCCGACTCACAATAGAAAGGAAAGTGTATTTTGTCATTGGAGGAATAGATGGAAATAGAAAAAATTAGGTTTCTGCACATGTACCATTCCAAAATAAATAAATCACATACATATTCTTTTAAAATACGTTCCTATGATAAAATAAATCGTTTTTTTTTCTTCCGAACAATATGCATTATAATATTATGATTTACGAATCAACAGTCATACATGTTGGACATGTTAAAGAGTTTGATTACTAGCAAGTTGTTGACGTGTGCCCATATATCGACGAGTGGTAATTGACAATTTCTCACTTGGCAACTGAAAGGTCTGCGTGTGACCCGTGAGACGTGACGAACACACACTGAGTTTTTGTTGTATAATACAGACACGCAGAAGACAGAACAATTAAACGAGTAGCCAAAAATATCTTAATTATTATTGTCACTGTTGTTTTGAATAACATAGGTACACGCAAACTTTACAATCTTGATATAATTTCGGATATGCATGTTTAGTACCTAAACTCAGCCGACAAACATAATTTAGCTGATGCTACTTATCGCTGTTACCTATCGCTGCTGTCCAAGCTGTTCAAAAGAAAATAGTAAACATTTATAACATTTTAAATATATATTATTAATAAATTCATAATTTGAAATTTTTGTTCAATTAAGTCAATCAATTATGTGGAATACCATACATTTAAGGTTTTATTTTAGCTGTGTTGGTTTGGTGAAAGAAAAGGATCATTACGCTGTTATCATGATTTAATCAGTGCTTGATTTGGGGGGGGGTCCCCCTTCTTTTTAAATTTTTTTTTAGCGTACCCCTTCTATTTATTTGAAACGGAACGCTGCGAACGCAACATTTATTATAGTGAATTTGTAAATAATCAGTTTTTCTGATGCAAAATATATCCATAACCTATATCTATAATATTTGTACATTTGAATCGACTATGAACAAAAAAAGATTGTTAAATTGCTTAAGATTGTTAAAATTAAATTTTCTATGGCTTTTCGCTTTTGGTGTATAAAACTATAATAGAAGTGTTCATATTTTATCGGCCTTCATAGGACATACAGCGCTCCCGGTGGCGATGGCTGTCTGTGGTAAAATTTTCAATCAAGTTTTCAGACAAGTGACGACACCTTATCAATACACTTTGATAATAGAATTCTTCTATTATCTATGACAATGACGTCGTTGATTGCAGGCCGTTGAAAAAATCAACTGTCACTCTTCTGTCATTTTAAAGTCTTAAAGTATTTTGATTTGTCAATTGTCATCAAAAAATTCACACCAGTTTACCAGAAATTGAAAATGGAATTAAAAAGAAAAAGTACAGTAGGTGGATAAAAAGTGGAAAAAGAAATTCTGATGAAGTAAACT